AAGGTGATATGTATAATAAGCAAGATTCTACAAAACAAAAAATACATATGTATTTTTCATTTAAAAAAAAAATAGATATAGGGTCTTACTTTATTGTCCAGGCTGGTCTCAAACCCCTGGCCTCAAATGATCCTCCCACCCTACTCTCCCAAAGTGCTGAGATTATAGGCATAAGCCACCATGCCCGGGCAAAATAAATTTTTTTTAAAAAATGGGTACTATAAATGAACTTTTAGGTGTTTTCTCTTAGGCACAAGAGAGAGGAGTCACACAAATTAGCACTGGCATGAAGGCCCCGTATATTAAAGAAATGAGAATCTAAAAATGTATACTGGTTAATAACTATAACAAATGCAGTTGGTATAGTGGAAAAACCTCAAGCTCTTAAGACAAAAAAACCAGGTTTGAGTTTTCAATCGAACACTTACTAGTTAGCTATATTACCTTAGCAAACGCTGTGAGTCTCCATTTTCTCTGCTATAAAACAGTAATATAATATAAACTACTTCACAAGCTTTCTTTTTTTTGGGGGGGGGGAGACAGAGTCTCCCTCTGTAGCTGGGACTACAGGCACATGCCACCATGTCCGGCTAATTTTTTTCTATTTTTGGTAGAGACAGGGTCTCACTCTTATCCAGGGTTCAGGCTGGTTTCAAACCCTTGTGCTGAAGAGATACTTCCACTTTGGCCTCCCAGAGTGCTAGGATTACAGGGGAGAGCAACAGTGCCCGGCCTTTACTTCATAAGGTATTGTAAGAATTATGATTATGTTTATTAAAATTTTGTGAGCCATAAAGCATTATATAAATTTTATTCTAAGTAATAACAACAGCACTCTGTGCACCTAACAGATGCATTAGAACATCGAAAAATACAGGATAGCTGCCAGATGCAGGGGCTCATGCCTGTAATTCCGGGTACTCAGGAGGCTGAGGCAGGAGGATTGCTTAAGGCCGGGAGTTTGAGACCAGCCTGGATAATATAGCAAGACCCTAGCTCAAAAAACAAATTTTAAAAAATTAGCCAGGCGTGGAGGCACACGCCTGTAAGCCCCTCCTACTTGGGAGGCTGAGGCAGGAGGATTGCTTGAGCCCAGGAGTTCAAGGCTGCAGTGAGCTATGATTATGCCACTGCACTCTAGCCAGGATCTTTAGAGCAAGTCCCTATCTCTAAAAATATAATGATAATAAAATAAAAATATAGAATAGCTGCTGAAAATTCCATAGACCATACTTATACCTATGAAACTAGGATAAAGAATTCCATGAGGATTACACCTAGAAAGTATAGTTATTACTAAATTATTCTTTTACAGTCAAGTACCATATATCATCGATGTTTCAGTCAATCACTGACCACATATACAACGGTCCTGTAAGATTATAATGGAGCTGAAAAATTCCCATCACATAGCTGTCATAATGTTGTAGCACAACATTACTCGCATGTTTGTAGTGATGCTACGCTACCAGTTGCATAAAAGTATAACACATACAATTATATACAATACATAGTAGTTGATAATAAGTGACAATGTTACTGGTTTATGTATTTATGTATTTACTATAATATAGTTTTTGCC